AACAATTTTTTACAGACTGATATACTTGTTCAATTTTCGCCTGCTCGTCTTCACTCTTTTAGACACGTTTTTCAGATAGTCCCCAGATCGATTTTTGGGTTGTTTGTACAACAACTGTATTTTCATAACGAATCAACATTCAGAGCCGAGACACTTTCATTTTGTAGAGAAATGTTTAATCTACTTAATTATCTAGTTGCCATTTCAGATTAGTTTGTAAGTTTATTGCAATAACTTCTTGAAAATGAGCGAAAAAAGGGGACCGTTAGCTGGGCAACCGGTTGGGTAAGTAATGTCCAGAGTACCTGGAGCTTTGTGCAAGTATAAAAGGTACTTATCAAGTAACTTAACAAATATAAGCACTAGGTAAGTATGTTTGACAATATGACAACCTTTTTTTACTGACCTTAGCTGCTATAGGATATATGTTAAATCGATGACGTACTTTGGATCGATTTTGAGCGAACTGTAAATTTTTAATTATTAATACACGATGCCAAAACGGATAATTTCGATTAAAATAACTTTTTACTAGATTATTGGATTTTTTTCGAAAACAAACATTGTCACAGGCTAAGCGTACTCTCTAAAAAAAAAGGTTTATTATAAAACTTAAAAGGGTATACAGAAGTGCAACCATTTCTAAACTATTTTAGGTTTCGTGGAAGACAAGATGCAGTACAAAACCGTTTTAAGTGCATTGAAACGATTGATTAGAGTGCATTTGCTTATTTCATTATATTTTATCCTCACGACTTTTTCTTGAAAAATCAAAAATTACAGAAAGTTTCAGGTATTTTTTGGGCTCAGTTTTCGCCGCCCTATACAATGAAAACACGCCTAAGCTGTTGAAATGGTCCACTTGCTCAATAAAACAAATTAGGAAAAAAACTGCTAGAATTTATGTACTTAAACGGTTTCGCACTGCACCATGTCTTCTACAAAACGTAAAAGAGTTTAGAAATGGTTGCACTTCTCTATACCCTTTTAAGGTTCGTAATAAGCCTTTTTTTTAAAGAGTAGGCAATAACCTATGTTTTCATTCATTTTTCGAATTACCATACTTAAAAGAGTATCGATCAAGGGGTTTCGAGGAAATCCGATACCACGTCCAAATTATATATATAATGAAGAGGTCGAAGGGTTCTCATTTTGAACTTTCGGCTATCTACCCATGGATTAATACAATAGACTTCTGTCAAACTTTTTGAGATACAATCTGGCCTTCCAAAGGTCTGTGAAAAATCAATTTTGAAAATTGTCTCCACTTCGAATGACGAAAAGCGCAGCTCAGTAGTTGCTGCAGATCAAAAGTTATTTGAAAAATGAAGAAGAGCATTCTTTTTCGAAATTAACAATAGGCATTGAATGTCTTTACAAGTACAGTATCTTGATTTCCTGACCAGATTATCTGACAGTTCACTAGAGAAGCCCTTTTATCACGAAATATTTTTATCTTACTGTTTAAGCATTGTCCATTTTGTCTGATCTTCTAGTATATTTTGTCCTGGACATCTGACCCATTGTGAATTGTGCACGCCCGGAATCGGCTTTGGCTGTTTGCCCAATTTAGGCAGAGGATTCCAACATTCATCGAATAGAACAAAGATAACTTTAATTCCATATGTTTCACACTGGTTTAGGAACTGTTCAATTCTATTATAGAATTTTTTTGCATTTTCTTTCCACAATAGATAGTGTAAAAATACTCTCATGATATTCATGTTATAAGTGGTCGATGCCCATCTTATCTCACTTGCAATTGTTCTTATGTCAAATGTATCTTCTTGCCACATTTCAAGAACGTTGACAGCAGTGGACGGAATGAAGTTGGCTCCAACATACCAGGGTTGTCTAGAGTACCATTCATTTGCTTGTTTTTCAGACCAACGAGCAACATTGACGTATACCTAAGTAAAAACGATTGTTAAAGATCATTCTACTTTTTATGTCTTCTATCTTTCTCTACGTCATGTTAGTGGTAATTTTTGACAATAATTGATTATCTTACTTTTGATGGTAATAATTTATTCCTATTGTAAGCTGTGAGTGTAAGAAAGATAGCCACAAGAATGGTTGCAGTAATTATCGACAACCATTTAATATGATAAACCTGAAAATAGAGAATACAAGGAATTATGCAAAATTTCATTTGGAGAATAAGTACACAACATATTGAGCTAATATGAACCAAAAATGTAAAATGACACCTGAAACAAAAGAGTTTAAAACGAAATTGTGCTAAGTCTACCTTAAAAATGAGTTGAGCCATCAGATCAAACTAATCGTTTGACAAGAAAAAGAAAAAAACTAGGGTTACTGTATTCATGACTCGAAGCGTTAACCAAGCGTGACGCGAAACCTTACGTCTATGTTCAAATAACTGTCATTTCTAACAAAAGAGGCTGGTGTGCGGTAGAAGGAAAGAATGATTATTCAGACAGCAGGAAACGATCATACATTGATCTGAGCCATAGAACTGAAAAGAGAATCATTAAGAAGCATGAATTGTTTCTGTCGTTATTGGGCATTATATTTTGTTTCGTAAAGAACAACACTCACTACCACAAAGTTCGAATTTCTTTCCTCACTGTTTTGGAATGGAGCAATGATTGTCCCTTATTGCTAAACACAGAATAAAATGTTGAATTGAATTAAATAGTAAAAGTCTCTCGTTTTTTCATTTACCATTTTACTTGATATTGGGCTGCATTTCGCCGTTTACCAGTTCAAATGATCCTGACTTTAAACACCATTGTCATTATTATCCAACACTATTGTTTCATTTGACTTTTGGTTTCATATATTTTACATGATTAGCTCGCTTTTGTAGTTAATTAAACTTAACCGGATTACATGAAGTTGAAACCAGCACATCATGACTCAATCTTCATGTATGTATACGCTTATTTTAACGGTACGCTATTTGACCAAACAGAACAGGTGAAAATACCTCTATTTCAACAAGAGAGAGAATGAAACATCACCAAACGCCATCTAACAATTTTCTTAACACAGATTCTCTTAGTGAGAATATTTTATAGACTAGATAACGAGGGAACCTGTCAAGGTGATTAAAAGCTTTTCGACTCAGACTATTTTCATCATGTAGAGAATAATCAGCAGTGAAAAATCCCAAGTTGGTTTGTGCCCATGCACATTTTTGACGGAGATAAGAGTTAAATAATGAAAATGTCATTAATAATAATTAATTAATAGCTCAAGACCATGATCAGCTAGGAGTCGGAAATTCACACCACAGTTGAAGATAGATGTTGTCTACTCACTGCGACACTTTTAAGCTCATAAACCAAAGCTTTTGCAAGATATGAATTTTTTATGATTTCGACAGTTTTTAGTGAAAAATCATCATTGAAAACCTAAAAACTCGTTATCACCTTTTAAATACCTCTGTTCACGCTGCAGAAGCTCAATGGCTCTTAGGGACCTATATCTAAATGAAATAAGTCTTTACTGAGTCGATAGAGGTATCTAAAAAGTGATAACAAGTTTTTAGATTTTCAATGATGAATTTTCACTAAAAACTGTCGAAATCATAAAAAATTCATATCTAAAGCTTTGGTTTATAAGCTTAAAAGTGTCGCAGTGAGTAGACAACATCTATCTTCAACTGTGGTGTGAATTTCCGACTCCTAGCTGATCATGGTCTTGAGCTATTAATTAATTATTATTAATGACATTTTCATTAATTAACTCTTATCTCCGTCAAAAATGTGCATGGGCACAAACCAACTTGGGATTTTTCACTGCTGATTATTCTCTACATGATAAAAATAGTCTGAGTCGAAAAGCTTTTAATCACCTCGAGAGGTTCCCTCGTAAGTCCAATAATCATCATATGCCAAGATTTTCTATGATCCTATATTATTACAAGAAAACATAAGATTTCAACATATGTTGTAAGACTTTTTTGAAGATTATTTCTGCGTTTCTAGGGATTGCACATGTATAGCAGAAGACGTCGTTTTTAAGCGCAACTAAGGGAGCATTTTAAAATATATTCCGGCCAGCCGGTCGCTATTCCTCTATTCCTAAAATAATTATTTCAGTTGAATGGATCAGTCCATCATTTTCTCTCAAGCAGCAGTTAAGTGCTGGAAATCATAAGTCCTGCCACAATCAACATTAAATTTAAGTGTTCCTGAGAAAACATTGCATATCTTGTTGCCAAAGTAAAATATTTATATTACCGGCAAGAGAGGAGTACGTGTTGTAGATCAAAGCCGGATATCACTGGAAATCTTGAACAGATGAGTTCTACCTTGGCTCTGACCGTCCGTCATCAAGCCCAACCTCATTAGCGTGTCGAATGAAAAACATACTGGGATAGTAAATTCAGCTCCAGAGACTGCAAGAATTAGGTATCTCTGATTGTATTTATGGACTCACATGGTTGCATTGGTGTCGAAAATCTACGACAAGATAATACACAGATATATCTTGGTAAATATATTCATAGGTTTCTGCAAAAAGTGAAATCATACACGAAACATTTGAACAAACGAGTTGTTCTTCGAGTGATTACTGATTCCATTTGAACCAAGTTCTTCCAGTTAATTTTTGTTTCTTTGACATTCATGCCGAATCATACGTAACAAGATTATCACACAGAAAACTAAGAGCTGTTAATGACCGATTGACACATGAACTCCTGTGAAATTCTCACTAGTCATAGATAACATGTGAAAGTCCATACACTTTTGTCTATGAGGATATAACTTTTGCCTTGTTTCCGTGTCAATAACATAGAAATAGTAACCAATTATTGAGGAACTTTATCCAAATTAACTTTAATCTCGTTCAAGAAAATAGTTACTTAGTTTAAATAATGAAAATGAAGTTGATTCGGTTCTTTTGTGCGTATGATTAAAATACGATGATTAATTAATGCGACATTTGCTACTCGATGTTCGTTAGAATCCATTTGTTGTCGAATCTGACATTGTTTATCGATTACCATCAATTTTGTTGTTGATTCACTCTGTTGAACGAGCAATAACCACTCATCGTTTGGTAATAGTACGATGTTCGTAGAGAAAAGTGCGACGTTCAATTCAAGGTATTTTGTGACTATCATTGATGATAAATGACGTAGTTCAAAACGATATTTTATTTTGGTGCTTCCAACAGTCATAGCTACAATATCATTTTCATTTAATCGAATACATCGAATTATTTCCTTTTGTTCAACAATATTTACCCATTTTTTTTCGCATACCCATTTTGGTGATGGCCTCCATAATTCAATATTACGATTAATCACCAATAAGAGTGTATTCCCAACGCATGTACAACAATTATGTCCAATCAAACTAGCTCTTGGAATTTGTTTGATCTTTACTATCGCAAATGTCAAATCATCGAAAGAATAACCACCATCACGCGTCCATATGAAAAATTGATTTAGTTTTGAACACCAACACAAATCTTCGATATAACTGTGTCTCCATGAAAGAATCTTTTTATTTGAGCCCGTTTGATCGACCAAACACAGCTGAGTTTGTTGCCAATACAGAAGACTATTATCGGAAGCTACCATTGAGGTACCGTGGCCAATATCAACGGTTTTCGTCCTCTGAGATTTGTTATTCGTTAAAACATGATGTATGTCAAACAGAATAGGCTCGCTTTCTACTGTTTCCATTTTAAAAACGCCATCAAAGTCAACCGTTCGATGCTGAATTTGAATTGTTACCGGCGTTACTTTGTTACTATGACGATCCATTTTTAGTTGCTCAACGGCCTTGCTCAATCGTTCAATATCGTACTCTATCGGGACATTCTTTTCACTTTCTTTACGAACGTCTTCTGTTAAATGATCGAATCGTTCTTTTAGGCTAAGTTTAGTCTTATCAATTAACGTTTGCACATCGAAACGAGCTTTGTCCGCCACTTGTTTTATTACCATCATCATTTCTTGTTCCCATTTTTTAATAGTATCAAATGCTTGGTTACTTTCAGTACTGGTGTTCATTTCAAAATACATTTCTTGCACTAGGCGGTCTCGTTCACTATACACACGCTGAATATGAGCATCTAGTTCCCGATGATGAAGTTCAATATGCTCTCGACAGTATCGTTGTTTACATCCATTGTTACACGGTAAAGTCCCCGACTTTTTACATGTTTTCTTCCATTGACATTTAGTCAACGACAAATCTGAAGTCATCGAGATTCTAAAAACAGACAAGACATTTGTACGAATACCTAGTACCTATAATAATGCTAAAACTGAATGCTGTCATTGTTACCATGATAGACTGATATCTTATGAAAGTAATAGAAAAAATGCAACTTACGAGTCGTGTCAATCGAGCTCTCTTGGTCAAAATTGCATATCCTCACGATGATGTTGTGGATGGTACAAGAAAAGCTATTATTGAATGTTTGTTTTTTTTCGTTTCTATTCCACTTTTTTAAAAAGTGTTGTGATATACTTAGTATTGAATGAAAAATTCAAAAAGAGAAATAAAATAGGATTAATATATATTTCTTTATTGTTGTTTTCTTGCATGAATGTCTGAAGGGATTACGGCATTTTCTTTCTCGAAAACGATAAATCTGTTTTTCTATATCAAGTATTTAGAATGTATTTTATGTGATATATATGAGTAATTTGTAGAATCATTGTACCATTTCGAAAAAAATCGTCTGAAACTTTTTTGAAGAGATTGAAGTTTGAAGTACGATCATCTTAGACTCAGTTTTCCTTCCTCTATCGACTATATTTTTCCAACACTTTAGATGGATGATAGCAAAGATTACCAAAAAGTATAATAACAAAAAAGACAATTTTCGCTGTATATTTACTTTTCCTGTGTACATACCAAGACCAGAAGCTGGGTAAATACGCAATCGTTTGGTATATAAACGGTTGATATTAAGTCGATTTTCATTGAAATATAGAAAAAGAATGTCGTTGGACATTTTCGATGTAAAACGACTATATCTCGCGAACTAAAGATCGTAGAAAGCTACTATTTTACCACAGCTTTATGGTATAAAACGAAAAAAAGGATAACATTTTGGTGTTAATTCGTCTACTGGGTAAGAAATTGTACAAGAAACAATTTTCTAAATCTCGGTGAACATTTTGAGTAAAATTCTCTGTTTTTTCGCAGTAAAACACGATTTTTATTTGACCCCTAAAAGATAAAAAAAAATTTTTTGACACGATGTTCGGCTACTTCTGCTCTATCTTTTAGCGTATTCGGAAGTGGTTTTGAGTCAGAAATATAGTACAGCGGACAAGTTTTAGTCTCGGTAGAGAAAAACTCAAAAGTGTTTGTAGTCTAGATAGTTTGTACAAATAAAATAAACAGAATTAAATTTCGTTTATATACTTTTGAAGCTTCCGAACGTCGGCCTGAAACTGGCGTAAAAACTTAAACAAAAAAGTTTAGATATGTTCGAGAGAACACGCTTGTTGTCCAGCTCGGTGCCATGTAGTCGGTCAGTGTTATGGAAAATTCTTAATGCAAGATTCATATCTCAGTAAATAAAGTTGATATCAACTTAGTATTATCACAAGTGAGTACTAAACCTTAAATAAATAAAATTAAAACACAATTATCAAAATCGATCCAGCGGAACCGGTTTTAGAAAAAAACACTCCGGGAACTGCAACGGTATAATGGTCATACAAGTCATTTATATGAATGATAAAGTATTGTATCACCAATTGTTTTACAGGAATACAAAATACGAATATCTTTCTTCTTGAAAGATTAGACAAGTGATAATATACTGGTGATACTAACCAACATAGGAGGATAAATGACAGTTACATGCATTCATATTAAAACTAGTAATAATAATTAAATATTCTACTTCTTGTGGATATTTATAGCTGATATGTCGTCATCACTTCTTTACGTTTTAAACTACTTGGTTAAAGAATTTTTAACACATTTTGTGTTAATAAGCCTTTTCATATTGATTATATTCTAATTCTATATTCACGAAATTGATCATTAACGGAGTGTTCTTATCTAAAAGCTTGATAGTTATAAAGTGCTGCTGTTGTTTCATTTTAACTTTATTGTCGTTACACTGTATACTCCTTTTCTTATGTTGCCTACAATCCGTTAGCGTTAATTTCTTGGTGGAAAATTTTGATTTTACAACTTTATAGAATAAGTTTTAAAACTTCGTTCCAGGCTTAAAAGGCGCAAAATTTTCTCTACTATTTAATGATATGCTTCGATTAGAATATATCCTTATGCTTTCTTTAAAACTTCTGAAATAGTAAATTCTCCCCAAAACTACCCTAGTTTTATTCGAACAGGATTCTTGCCCAAGATTTGTTGGATTTGTTTTCGAGACTCGATGTTTTTTTAAAAGATGCGGTGCGAAATACTCCTCAACTCAAAACAAAAACAAATCAATTAAAATCCAAAACAATATCGATACAAATTCAGCCAGTTCATCGCCTTCCTCGTCGGATAGGACCTGTAACGAGATCTCAAACCAATGAACTGCCTCCTTCTATCAAAAAAGTCGAAGATGAAGAATTTGCGCGATTTTTAATGGAGACTATAAGAAAGAATCAAGAAATAAAGTCTCCAATTGCAACATCAGCCATAGCTAAGCACTTTCAAAATACAGGACATATGATAACAAGGAACGATTTTCGAATTTTACTGTCCGAACGACGTAGATATCGTCTACTATTAAAAGAATGATTATTGATTAGAGCTAATACATCAGCGCTCAATGGTACTGATGGATCAGTCCTTCTATATGTTTTCCCAGATGGATTGGAAAGGACGGTTTTAGCAAGATGGTCGAGGATGGGAGATTAATACTACCAAAACAATCTACTAAATAGAAACCCTTTGGAAAGTAAGGTCAAGTTTTTAATGCACATAAGATCTTAAGTGTACATTAAAGGGTGGAGGAATAGAAAACAAAATTGAATGAATAATCTTTCCCATCAAGTACAGAGTTAATGAGTCATGAAAATGGAAATGAAGAATAAAATAAGTTTATTTTTTACTTCTTCAGTGTAATTCTCTAGATTGTTGTGTTGATAATGACCGTTACTGGTTGAAAATTCCACAGAAAATTATAATAAAAATAAAAAGATGAAGCCGGCAGTAGCTGCAGTTAATACATCTGATTTACTGTTACTCATAACACCATCGCTAAAATGTTACCTTATACTAGAAACAGCAACACATAGTGTGTTATCTGTTACTAAGTAACTAACAAATGACATGTTACTGTTACTAGTATCATAAAAGTAACACTAAGATATCTGTCGCTTTTAAAAAAAGAGTTATATTTTTTAGAGATTCATATACTAAAATAAACCGAAAACTATATGCGTCCGGAACAAAGTATATCTGACGGCAAGGATATGATGTCTTTTGATCATCCGCGGAACTGCAGAAGGTTTCCAGCAGATTCTGAGAATGCTTTTAGTTTTTCACTCATTTTTAGGTACGATTTGAAAAATGAAGGTAAAATATAGTATCAGACACCAGGGAATCTTCAAAAGGTTTCCAGAAAACTGTGAAAACACAACTGGGACAGGTTTTGGGTGTTTGCGGATCTTCATGAACTTTTGAACTTTCTACCAATGTCGGATATTCGTAGATGGTAATCCGGTCCTCCATTCTTAGAAATTTTAAACTAGACAGATGTACTGCCTGTAGATGCGGTCAAATATTCACAACTTTTAAGAACTTCAGAAGTTATTTGACTATTTTCCTTCCGATGGACTATGTGAGAAACATTAACTTGCAGACAGTCGAAAATTGATAAGAAAGTTCTGAAGTTGAGCACCCCCACTTTTCCTACATCTTCTGACATTTTTAAAGGTAAACTCATAATAAAATACGTTAATGTACACTGTAGTAAACGACCTGTACAATGCTAAAAACGAAAATGACTATATTTTTGTCATAAAAAAGCAGATCTTTTTCTAAAATGTTTCAGGATAACAAAAGTAATTCTCTTATAAAAGATCTACAGAAATGAGACTTAACACATACTGATATTATACTGAGCATCTCGCTACACTTCCCCTGATCGGGAAGCCTGCGCAGTTATTAGGATCATTCCCGCATTTGAATAAATCATGTGTGACTTCTTTTACATCATTCGGTGTACTTTGAATTATGGATTGAAAACCAGCAACGAGATGCTCAGTACAATATCAGCGACATGTTAAGTCTCATTTCTGTAGACTTTTTGAAAGAGAACAGAGCCATGGTGACAGGGGGATGTAGGAGGGTCTACACTCCTGCTTTTTGGATTTCTTACTTTCTTCTGCTTAAAACCTTTCTCCCAAAAAATCTTTGGGAGCTAAAAGCTTTTTTACCTTTTTCCCATAATCTTTTACCTTTCTTCAAAAAATTGACACTCTTCCTGCTTTTTTCTCTCGCCACGACACTGTAAGAGAACTACTTTTATTATCCTCAAACATTTTAGAAAAGATCTGCTTTTTTACTACAAAAATATACAGTCATTTTCGTTTTTTAGCACTGCACAGGTCGTTTACGAATGAAATTACTAAATTAAAATAATCGACTGATAGATGTTACGTATTATCGAATCATCCATCGTTGTGCAGATGTGAGTGTTTGAGAGATGACAGAAACGTGATTTATTAAAGTTAAAAAATGTCAACGAAGCTTTTTGTCTGTTTTTCAGCTGTGTCAAAAATAATTTAGCTTTTTATTGTCCCTTTTGTTTGAAAATATTTTTCGAGTACAGATAGTGAAACGACGAAGTACACATAGCAACTGTCAACATGTACGAAAAGAAAATGAAACAGAGCAAATAAAGAGATATTGTCGCAAGTTTCATTTGGTAAGGGAGCATGAATATCAGTTTTAAATTTTCCACTATATACTCGAATTTTTGAAGATACAGTACAGAAAGTTTTGAGCAGCATGCGTACCCTATAAAAAAAGATTAATATGGCAGGATCTGCTAACAAGACTGCCATTCAATTCTAGCAGGCAAAATTCTCACGAGCAGACCTGCACAGGTCTACAGGTATGTGACAGTGTCTGCTGCAGGTCTTCTAAGGTCTGACACGATGTTCTCTGCAGACCTGCATAGATCTGCTCGTGAGAATTTTTCCTGCTAGCATTGAATGGCAGACTTGTTAGCAGGTCCTGCCATATTAATCTTTTTTTACCGGGTGAACTAGCAAAC